TCTATCTATCTATCTATCTATCTATCTATCTATCTATCTATCTATCTATCTATCTATCTATCTATCTATCTATCTATCTATCTATCTATATATCTATATATATATATATATATATATTAGTGCTATTAGTGGTACTACATAAAATATGTGGAGGTGAACTACAGATCTGTCTGGTAGAAGGGGTGACAGTGGCAATAACACACAAAGGGCTTTGAGGGTGGGGGGAGGGAGGTGTCACCTCCCGTGCACATGATCACTGGCTACGCCCGTGAGACTCGGCATATCATAAAAGATGTGAGAGGGAATGATGAGGGGAGCACAAAGACAGAAGGGAAGCGAAAGGACAGGGAAGGAGGAGATCTGCCTAAACTCCGCCTCCGGTCTCGGATCCTCTCGCATTCCTTCTTCACAGCCCCTCACGCTGGAGATAGAGAAAGAAAGGGAAGGAGAAACAAGAAGGCCACGAAGAAAAAGAGGGGGAGCAGTGAAACGACCATGGCAATATCCAAAACGTCTCAGCGTGAGATAGAGTCCGATCCCAGCGCACTTTCACCACCGTCGACCCCGGCTCGGAGCATGCAGTCGCACAATAGACAGAGTCCTGATGAATGAGGAGCTTTACCTGGGCCGTGGACAAAATGAGGGTCATCTTCATCCAAAACGCCGGTTTCGTCGCAGCTTTCTCGCCTTTCTCGTGATGTTGGCAGTGTTTGGGACGACAGATGATGTGAACGAGCCAGAGCTAACCACAGCCAGATCATGCGAGTAAATTGAGGAGTAAGGGGATCGTAGCAATTTATTTAGGCTGTCTTATTTTATTTTATTTTATTTTAATGGGATAGAGAGCTTGCACATATTTATAGCCAGTATAGCATCTCTGAATCGAAAGTGTGCTGAGCTTCCGGCATGCAGCCTGCTGTCGAAATCTGAATAATACACTATATTTTTTTAACTATATTGGCACTAGAATGAATTTTTAACCAATGATAGAGTATGTACCAGGTTATTAAGGTCCGATCCTTTTAGACTTCCGCGCTCATGTAGTAATCCTTTAGTATATAGCAATTATTAATATGAATAGGTAGAAGGAGAGATCTCTGGCCACTATGATCAAAGCCTATTGATCAACTGAGACAATCTGGAAATGTCAGTTTCCACGTGTGATAACATGACTGGCGTCGTTCCTTGTAATTTATTTATTTATTATTACTATTATTAGGCCTATAAGTATTATATTATCGATTTATTTTTTAGGTAGGTAGTGATATATTTAACAGTGGGAAGGCTGTTTTAAACCCTTCCTTATAGTGAGATGGAAACCGCTTATTTATCGTCGCACCGGGGGGGCACCCGTCCCGAGGCCCAGAAGGGCCAACGCTCGGCGGGTGAGCCCTCCGCTGCACCACCACCTTCAACTCCACCTGCCGGCAGCTCACCTGAGGAGACCCCGACGAGTGGTGATGGACGGAGAAACTCGGGCGTGAAGAAACACCATCACAAGCACAACCTGAAGCATCGCTACGAGCTGCTGGAGACGCTGGGAAGAGGCACCTATGGCAAAGTCAAGAAGGCCATTGAGCGGCACTCTGGCAGAGAGGTGAGCCATTTACACAAGCAGCTGCAAACATCTGTCACGATGCTTTTAGTAAACCCAGACGCTTGTAATTCACAATACTTCTGTAACGCCCTTTAGCAGCCACTACAAACAGCACTGGTCCCAAATTAAGTGGTTTGTTGCTCCCAGACGCGTGTGCACGACCTACCCCCGCTGGGAATTCCCCCACCATGCTCCAAAAAGGCCAGTGGGGCCAGGGAGTTACGCTGCACACATGCAGGGCCTCACGACCGGATGCCGGAGTGCAATTCCGGCTACCGACAGACTTATGGGGACTTGTCTGACCCCCACAAGCTTCACAAAAGTTCCCCAGAAGTGTCCTGCGTCCACGCTCATTCATAATTTGCAAAGTTTTTAAGACATGCATTGCAAAGTTCAGATCAACCCCAAATTCACTCTTTTGCGAATGACCAGCATTTGACATAGTCTCAGTCTTTAAAGTAGTAGGTTACTTGTACTGTTTCATCACTCTGCACAGTGCCGTACAGTTTTTCCCTTCCCGTTTTGTTTCTATTTTTAAAGTGCCAAGTTTTTTTTCCCCTGCATGGCTCAGTCTGGCACTTTGCGTTTCTTTTATTTGAAAGTGATGAACTGTATATTTGTGGCAGTAAACCCACCATCTGCTGTGATGTCCTTGCAGACCGGCAGATCTCTACCAACTATTTCCACATGTGGCAAAATATGACCCCAGTGCCCATTCTGGCAGGGCATGAGGAAATTTCCACTGAAACTTAGTACAGGCCAACAATGTCCCCCAGCGGTTTCATAGCTCCTGGCAAATGCATGTTTAATAGGGGAAGGGGGGCAGCACACCCCCTGGTACGACATTCCTGTTTGACCTGTCCCACTTGCCAGCTTCTCCTTTCTTCCGTTTGTTTTTCGGCATTATTGCCATGGTAGCAAGTGTAATATGAATTAATGTAATTTCACTAGCATCATAAAACTGTGCAACTGTACTAACTGGACAGGTCAAAGTGTATTGCATGATTGTTGGCTTTGGATATCTTGGAAATCTTTTGTTAAATAATTGACAATGTTTGTCAAATAGTTGACAAGTTTATTATATTTTTGTTACTAAGCCATAAAGCACTACTTGCCAGTCACTAAATATATAAATAAACCCAACATACTTATGTGTAAGTCAAAAAACTATAGCCCAGTGGCTCCAGTTCTCCTATTATCTACAGCACTGAGCTGAGCTTAGCATTAAAACTTAAAATAGAGAACTATTAATATGGGACCCAAGTCTGTGCACATAGAGTACTCACCATCTCGCAGCTTATGCATATGGCACTACGCTGCTGGAGTTTACTTGACCTCTGATCCAGAGGGAGTCCCTTGTGTCCATTTGGCATGTAAACCAGTGTGGTGAGAACGTTATTTAATCATCTCAGCTCCCCTGAACCTTTTCCTGGCTTGTTCCACAGACCCAGTGAGAAGAACAAAGTGGAGAGATAAACTGATGAAGCTCTCTGTGTGTGCATGCACACACATGGGAATAACGAACGACAGATTAGATGCAAGCATATTCAGCATGTCAGTGAAAGTAGAGCTGGTTTCACCTGGAAGCCCGTTTGTTGTACAATTTGCACGCTCAGTAAAAAACACAAACACCTAACATTAAGTGAAGTGCAGCAGATCACAGAGAACTTGGTGTGGCTTTGTGGGATGTGCACAACCCGTGTTTCTGTGCATGTGTGTGAAAGGTAAAAGGAGACCTGTGGCTATGTTTCAAATAGCTGCATTAAGTATTACATGCCATCTAGAGAGGACTATAGTGAAAAGGTTATGGTGACAGTCAGGCCTATAATGGACACTGACACATGAAAGGCCATCCACAGCAGGAAATTAGATTTAGAAGGTAATGTTAATATCCTGTATGGAGGATCCATGACAGACAGGGGCTGGGGAGTTAGCACAGAGATACAGGGAAGCTCACCACCATAACAAGAGAGAAACCGGCTCAGTTAAAAGGGGTAAAGAGTCATATTAATATGTGCTTAAAGCACCAGATTACATCATTCCCCAACAATGGACTCAATAGGGAGGTACGCAAGAGGGAAAAACATTGGCATTCCTCTGTTATTTTCTATGTTGTACAGCTGATGAGGCATTGTGATTCCTGGCTCTGTTTGAGAATACACTTCTCTGGAAAAGTGACGGGCCTCTTTCTCCCACTCACTCTCCCTCTCTCTGCCTCCTCCTAAGCCTGACTCAGACGCACAGTCAATACGACAGATGATCATGATCTTTAGACAATGCAGGGACGAGTGAGTTTGTGATGAATACTTCATCTATTTTAATGGCCTGAGAAAGCCCAGAACGATGTCAGGCTCCGCTGAAGCGAAACATGGACTTTCACTTCAAACGAGCTCTTTTGAGAACAAAGTCTGGACGACGGGAGGGGCAGACGAGGCCGCCCCATACCTGGCAGGGACCGACGTGGGCAGCAGTGCAGTGCCCGTTTACTGTGAGTGACAGTAATAGGGGGGTCCACTTAAGAACAAGCGTAGCTGCGTCAGCCAGCTCCGCCAGCTGGCAAGTAGCTGATCTGCGGTCCTGTGTAATGATCCGCATCAAGGTCAGGGCAAAGCAACATGAGGAGATACACAAAAGATATCTGGCTTTCTAGCCCAATATTGGGGAACTGTCTCATTCACTGATTTATCATGCAGTGTAGAATTAACTTCTCTACACATTTTACTTGTCTTTGTGTGTAACTTTTGTAGGCAATTTCTTAGTTCATTCCCTAACTTAAAAAAAAAATCAGGTATTTTTTGCATGCATGCATCCATCCATCCCACAACAACTGAAAAAGGCAAGCTGCATTCAGCTTTGCAAAGTCAAGTGTCAGTCACGTTTTGGGGATCAGTGATAAAATCCTGATGATTTTGATGAGGTAAAGGAAAACATCAGTGTTAAGACACAAACAACTTTTCCCAATTATGAACACAGCATGTGAACCCCCTGGACCCTGGCTTGTTTATTATGGTATCATTTCTTTAAATTCTATGTAATCAAGGCATGCTCTGGAAGGCAGCTATTCCGGTTTGGGGTTATTTTTATTGATGTACACGGTAATTAGCTTGGCACTCGCTACTGCCTGTGGTTTTTCGCTGAATGGAATAAAGCTGGGCTCCACAGAATACTGCAGTTTAGTCAGGAGGACAAAAGTTTAAACTAACATAATTCAGAGTGAAAAGATGCTTTACAGACCTGATCAAAGAACAACTCGGGGCTCAATCCAGATTGTTTAGGCTACAAGAATGATGTGCTAGACCGTGGGCTCTCCACTGGTTTATTTGAAGAAGGATGCTAACCTCTCATTTATGGAGTACATAGGTTAGTGGTTTGAATGCATCCTGTTGCGGCTGACTCTTAACTGAATTGGCTTTGCCATGACACTGAAGAATCATCAAATCAAGTGTCATTGTTGACTGTTAAGCTCCTTTTAACGGGCCCATTTGGCACGGCAAGGAGTGAATCACTTCCTCATCCCCTGCCCGTTCTCCTGATACCTCCATAAAACTCTCAGCAGGCCATCTTTTCAGGCTTTTTCGAATACGGGCCATTAGCTGTGTTTAATCAGAATAACTAAACATACAAGGCGGGGGTAGTGGTTAGGGTCTTCTCGGGGACTTTTGACAAGGGAGGAAATTTGCTTTGTAAGTTAATACTGACCGATTGATGGAGGATCACTCTAACCTTCAGCTCTCTCTTTCCTCTTCTTAAAATCGGTGAACACTTAACACCTTTCTCACTGCTTTTTAGGGATACATGGTGCAGACTTTATAGGCTTTTCAACCCCGCGCCTGCTGTACGTGGTTGGGATTTCGAAAGAAATTTCTCCACAGTTGTTGGAGTGGCAGTTAGTGCAGACATCCATGCACCAATTTGGATGAACAGCAGTACTTTAGAGGCTATTTGCCTAACCATTACCTTATTGCCAAATTCCTGCAAACCTAATGGCATTTCCATCAGCCTAAGCTGCACTGTGTGTTGTGCTAATGCACAGATGTTAGCTTGCTAACACAGCAAAGCAGAATAGTGACCATGACTGCTTAAATTAAACCTTATAATTATATCAGCATAGTTTTATTAGCATGAAGACTTTAGCATTTCACACAAAGCGCTACTATGTGCTAGTATGGCTGCAGAGTCCCAGACTGGCTCCGAAAACGCTCCCTGTTTCCAAGATAGCGCGCCGTATTGAGTGAACTATTGAGTGACCATTATATACTGATGAGGGAATGACTGAGTCAGGGGAGTGATTTTGGACACAGGCGATTAGTTAACAACAGCTGCTCCCAGAGAAGTCTTTACTATGGAAACTGCCATGTTGCACTGTGTGAATCTGTCCTCTGATGCTTCTGCAATCATGATGATTGAATATCAAAACAGGCCACAATGTTGGTACTTGTGTTTCAGTTTGCAATAGTTTGACCTCAGCAAGGCTTCGTAAGGTCAAAGGTTATTAAAAGTCTCTGTAGGTGGACAGGGGAGGTTTGTTTTTCTTTGATAATGAAATCAAGCATTGTGTGCAGACTGACATCTCATGACGTGCACCATGTACTGTGGATGAGCTGTACAATTTAAAGTTCACTGATAACAAATCGCATGTGACAGATAAATCTGTTGCACCTTAATCTCATTTCAGTGACTTTCTGCAGTCACGTCTCTTCCCAGATTAAATCAGCCTATTTTTCAAATCAATTTTCTTGGAAAAAAAGACAAATCTGCTTTTACTTTAAACTGTTAAATGTGACACATTCAAGATACTGTATATCTAGGCGGGGGGATTTTTGTTTGCTTGTTTGTTTGTTTGTTTTTTGCTTTTTTTCCTTTGCTGCTGAAGTCACATGAGTGAAAAGTGTTTGTCCTCTCTTTCCAGGTGGCTATCAAGTCCATTCGGAAGGAGAAGATTAAGGATGAGCAGGACATGGTACACATTCGCCGAGAGATTGAGATCATGTCATCCCTCCGCCACCCCCACATCATCTCTATATATGAAGGTGAGGGTCTTTGAATGTCTACCTGTGACAAATCATGGACACTTATTTAATTTGAACATGCAAACAAAATCACACATGTCCAGAATTCTTCCCTCCATCAGCTCATCTAGCACTCGTGGCCGAGCTGTAGGACTGTCATGTTATGACATGCAGATGTCATAATAAGTTCTGGACTACAGCTCTGGGATGTTATTAATCTTCTTCCCGTCTGGCTGCCTGGTCTAGTAAAAGTCTGGATGACTTTGACAATTTGCATCTGGATTCTTCTCTTTGTGTGTGTGTGTGTGTGTGTGTGTGTGTGTGTTGCATTCACATTTGTGAAAGTTTGTGTTTATAAGAGGGGTGATATTCTAAGGGATTGCCTCTCCCACATCTAAGAGGTCACATCCCCTCGTCTTCTCTGGTCTTGATCTCAGGGCCAGACATCTGCTGATACTTAGAGACAACAGCAGCTGGGAACCAGACTATACTCGTGCATGTGTGTGTGTCTGCACATATGTGTCTGTATAAATCCCAGTATATTTATCTCAGTGTATGAACCCTTGTGTGTGTAGCTCAGGAGACTCTGGATTGGCCTCAGTCACCCGGGCTTGCTCCCCGTCTGACTCCAATCCAGTGCTATGCAGCAGGAGGAAAGACCATAAGCCTTCCCTTGGAGCAATATCAACATATGTCTACCCCAGGAAGCAGTTCACTAAATATCAAAGACTTCAAGTCAGACATTGACAACATATTTATTGTTTTGGGCCTCCTTTTTTTGATGAGTCCTCATGAATGACCTTTACATCACCGGAAGAAAACATTAGATTAGAATTGATGGCGACTCTAAAGGTTGAACACTTCCCATTGATTTTTTTCAACATAGTGCTTGCAATTAATCATCTGATAATATGTAGTATGGGTCTGTTTTCCGTCTCCTACATTCACAACGCACTGCAGTGTGTTTTTTTGTTTGTTTGTTTTTTTGTCATGTGATTTGTGACTCGTGACTATTGTGTCAACATAGCAACAGTTTCAATGCCATTTTCAGGTTAGCTGCCCTGGCATAGCGGCTGCAGGCTGTGTGGTACTTCCCTAACTGGCTTAGCCACTGTCCTTTGTTCAGTTTCAAAGTCCTTAGGTCATTATCAGCAATGTGTATATGTAACAAACATAACTATTTGTCATGGGAACGTGCCAGTAGTCGGTCAGAGGGCTGAATTACCGATGAATTTTATGTGTTTTGCAAGAGAATGATTAAAGAACAGCCAGCTTTATAAACTCAGGCGAGCCTGCATGGTGTTTCTATGTGTGCTGCCTTCCTTTAAAAGCAGTCAATTCTACCAACAAACCTAACCAGACTCATTGCTCTCGCTCTTTGGTGTTTCTCCTCAAACCCAGCGTTTACTGTTGTGGCCTGGCCTCCGCCCAGCCTTGCTTTAGAGATGTATAGGAGGCCTAAAGATTTGTGTATCCGGCAACACCCTCTTCAACAGCCCCTGCTAACTGCCTTGTGTGAAGCAAAGCTGAACCAGATGTGTGCGTGAAGATTGATTTTTACCACTCCCTCACATTCTGCATCCATCAGCATGCTGCGTGGGGACATTTAAAGTAGTTTTTTTTGTTTTGTTTTTTGCTCTTTGCTCCTCAGGCGAAGCTATGCAGTGCCCTCCTTTTAAGAGAAATAGTCAACCCTACAAAATGCTCAAGCGGCATGAACTGATTCAGCCAGGGGGGAAAAAAACCCAAACCCTTCAGCGTGAGGGGAATCTTTAGAAATTTACCTTCTTACAACAAAATAAAAAATGATCACTCTTCTTGTGTCCCCACAGAAAATACAAAGCTAAAGCTAAGATCTTGCCAATTCTGTTACCTTGGCAGGAGTTCACTTTCTCAGTGCTGCTTCCAGATTTTGTGCTAAGCTAAGCTAAGTCGCTGACTATATTTGCAATGGTGTTAAATTTGTCAGCTAAATCTAGGCAAAAATCAGCCTATATCTCCAAATATCTTAAGTAAACATGATAAACAAAGGGAAAAATACCCTACAGATGAATTAAAATGTGCTTGTTTATGGCCTACTTTAGAATTATCCCTCCACTCCTCTGTGTGACTCTTTGGCCCTTGTGCAAGTTTTCAACAACAGTCTATCATCAGTGCAGACACTAGGACAATAGGCGCTAATTAGTCAGATGTGAGGGCATGACCTGTGAACAAAGCCCAGTGAGTGACAGCGAGGCTTTAGTGGTGGCTGCCGTGCCCAGTGGGCTGTAACAAACCCAAGTTATGTAAGCCAGGTAATTACCTCACCGCAAGTGCTCAAAGGTAAATGGGAGTGCAAGCTGAGAATTGGCTCCCCCAGCCTAACCCCATCAAGGTTTGCCGTGAATGTCACCCCAGGTCACTCCTCTGTCCACCAATCAGAGAGCTGAGTCTGCTTTTGCCCTCCCAAGTGCTTGGCTTACATCCCGTCTGTTATTTCCCGAGCTGCCAGACAGTCACAATCAGGGAGCATTACCATCACTCAGCAACTGTGTGTTTTTGTAGAGGATTATATCTTTAAAAGAACCCCAGGAGAGGAGGGGTGGGGTGCTGAGGAAAGTAGTGTGACAGACTGTGAAGGTGCTCACTCAAGAGTACAGAAAGCGGAGGCCCCCACCTCAGTGACCCTGCTGTGTGGGAAAATCAACACGGACAATATGTAGCAACATGGCTGACTGTGTTTTCCTAGCCTTTTTTCCCCTCTCTCTTCTTCTCCTCTCTCTCCCTAACCGCTGTCATACTCTTCATGCCAAGAAGCATGTTGCCAAACTGAAATTATATAGCGGATGGCTAAAAACTGACACACAATGATATGTCTGGTGAGCTGTATTTCAATGGCGATAAAAATGAAACAGCATTCCTCTAAAAATCAGCACACGTGTCACCGGGTTTATTCATTTTGCTTCGGTCGTAATAAAAGTTCAAGGTCCAAAAGAGAAAAAGCCTGCTTTGTAAGAGTAGGTACAGAAGATAGAAGAATATAGGAGTATAGCTTTGATTTCAGTTATGAGTTAAATATGAAGCAGTTTCATTACATTGCTCTTGTCAAAATAAAAGAGGATGCTTGTTGCCATGTTGAGTCATAAATCACTAAGGAACTAAGCAGTACTTAGAATAGGTACTCATGAGGCCCACGCGTGGTTGTTAGAAATATCGGACTGTGTTGTGAAAAGTGGCAACATGATGCAAAGCTCAAGCTGTAGCAGAACCTCCACCTGAGCCTGTGAAGGTAACTCTTTCTCCTTTTCTTTTCTTTTTTTTGTGGTCTGTTTTCACTGCTCTCCACTTGCTCTGCTCTCTGAGAAAGGCCTGATTGAGTTAACAGCCCCTCCCTGCTGTAGTGTTGTGAAGGAGCCAGGCACATGAGGTGGGGTCTGGGTGATGTAACCCTGGGAGAAATGTAGAGATGTAATGTGCTGCTTTGGAATTTGGATTCCCAATTCCCTCCAAAAAAAACAAAGGGCGGAGTAAACGTTTTTTTTTTTTCCTGCTTTTTTACTTAATAATGCTCGTTAATATTTTTATTAAGAAGGCAAAATGAACCTGGGCAGACTTAAGAAGCTGTCCTCCCATACCTCTATGTTTTTGGAAAGTCGGTAATAATGTGTTGCTATTTTCTTATCATTTCTCAGTGTTTGAGAACAAGGACAAGATCGTGATTGTGATGGAGTATGCCAGCAAGGGCGAGCTGTATGACTACATTAGCGAGCGTCGGCGCCTGAGCGAGCGGGAGACGCGACGCTTCTTCAGACAGATAGTCTCCGCCGTGCACCACTGTCACAAGGTGAGAAAACTCATCCGTGCCTTCAGCTTGTGCACGCTGTGCTCTGTGTCTCTTACACACATAAAGACTTTGTTTTAAGTCCTTAATTTATCCTTCACCATTCCCCTCACACATTCAGACGCATAGCTAGTATAATCTGCCAGCCCTGCACGGTGTGCTGTTCTTGGCGCACTGGTTGTAGAGAGTCATCTGTTTCTGAGTGAAGATAGAATGCAGGCCAGTTTAATTCAGGCTTACCCTCCCATTACAGAGCAGGGCAACAAACAGGCCCTGTCTTTAAATCTGTGCTCACATCTTGCCGCACACACACGGACTGATGTCCTGAGCTACCCCCAGAGTCATTCTCCAGAGATTAAGTTTGGTTCACACCCACATCCACACCTCACTTACTCTGCTTAAAACCCAAAGATCCCATTGGCTCCCCACTTGTCACACTTTTCCCAGCTGTAGATAGGGATGATGTCATAGTCTTCAGCTAGGGGACTCCCAGACTAATCTCTATAAATGCTCCCCTTTTCTTTAAAAAAAAAAAAAATTTGCTTTCATTATCAGACTCTAAGTCATGGCCGCGGCGCTAAACAGGACGTCCTGGCCTGAATGTCAATTGTCCATTACCTGTATATCTTCCCCAAAACGCCAGCCTTTGCCCCCAGAGGCTAAGTTATCAGATGATAGACGATTGGTTCACAGATTGGTCCCAGACAGCCATGAATGATGAGTCATTACCACCAAGCGCAACCCCTTGCTGGGTGGGGTGGTGTGAGTCACAGGCACAACAAGCAACCAACCACTTCTTCCTTGTGTTCACCAATCAGAGTCATGTGAAAATGAGCACCGTGTTAGACAGTCACCGACAGGAGATGCAACGCTGAGCTGCGCAAACAGGCGGGGGGTGACAGATGAAGTCACTCCTCTGCATCTGAGCTGGGTTCTGTCTGTCTGCGTACCACATGTTAATTCCTGGATTTTTTTTCCCCAACCCGTGCATTAACAGCATAGTCGCTGTTTTATCCCATGATGCTCTGAGAACATAATTCATACTGGGAGATAATTACAGGCTCATGTTTATGTCACACATTTGAGCTGATTTAAAAGAAAGTCCCAGCAGATGTCAGCTTGAAGATCTTCGAGGGGACAGGACCAATTAAAGAGTACTAAGCCAACAGGCTGTCTTGATTTCCTCAAGCTATCTTTGTCAAAGTAAATCACACATACATACAAATGCAATGGACTGTTTATTGCTTGGAACCCTCTTTAATGAAAAATGAGCTGATGCATGCATCAATCTTTTTCTTTTTTCTCACTGCAGAATGGAGTAGTGCACAGGGATCTGAAACTGGAAAATGTGCTACTGGATGAAAACTGTAATATTAAGGTAACCTTGCCTCTTGTGATGGTCTGGGATGTGTTGGCAGCCAAAGCCTTGTCTCAAATGATCTTTGCGTGAGGGAAAAGAAATAATATGACCTGAAATTCTAACTTGGCCTTGTGTTCACAGATTGCTGATTTTGGGCTGTCCAACCTCTACCATAAAGACAAGCTGCTGCAAACCTTCTGCGGTAGCCCCCTATATGCTTCACCGGAGATCGTCAATGGGAGACCATACCGTGGCCCCGAGGTGAGTCTCAGCGGAAATAGAAATTTAATCATTTATTGCCCTCCCTGAAAATTCATTTTGGGATGAACCGCTAGTGATTACATTCATCATGTAGTCAATATACAAACTGGTGGGTAGACTTTCTTCTCAGGCCCTTTGATGGGATTAGTCCATAGTCCAAGGGAGGTCTCTCTCTTTTGGGTCAGCATCCCTCCCCTGTCCTCCCTTTCCTACAATATTCAGGGGTCTTTGAAGTGAGGAACCAGGGGATCGTTTTTCTCACTCTGTCTTCAGATTAACTGGATTGGAATGAGCTCCCCAGCCTCAAAGCGCAAGCGCTGTCTAAACAAATACTTTTGGTGAAAGAAACAGTGAAAATGTCTCCCCAAAACCACTCATTCTGCAAGTGCAGAGTCACTCCGAAGGGCGTTGTCACTACAATTACATCAGATGGATAAAACAAAGCAACAAGGAGGAGGGGGGGGATGTTGAATTTTTAGATTTTGTAGTCAAACCGTTCAATTTAGTGCGATTCACTGTAATTTACTCGAGAGTGCTAAAAACGAAATTATAGAACCACAGCTGGGATGAGGCCACAAATTACAGCGAGCAAAGACAACAAAAATAGAGCATGACAATAGTGAGTGGCCTGTCGCATACTCAGGAATGGACCGACGATGACACAAAGAGTGAAACATTCACGATGCTGGTCATTGATTACGTCTCAAAACTTTAGCTGCCCTCATTAAAATCACAGCCCACTGTATCTGCCCCCAACTACAGTCTGTGCACTTATTCTGTGCCATGCTCTTTGTTTCTCTCTCTATCTCAGTCACACAAACACACACACACACGTCAACTGCATGTCTTTAGCGACTGTCAGGAGCTCAGCATATCACAGTTGCTATCTCTGCTGGTCTCATTACCCTCTTCCGCTCCCACCACTCTGCACCTCCTCAAAACACCAAGTGTTATGTAACATTTTTGAAAGCCACATTACATTGTGAGAGAGTGTAATGTGTCTGTGCACAAACAAGTCATGGCCCACCAAAATACCTGCCGTTGTCATTATGTCTTTGAGAGGCCTGCTGGAGAAACAACATCATATCATATTGCTTATTGGTGTGTAGAGTAACTCAAAGCTCAGTCTACTCAGCTCATTTCACAGCATCCATTTTTTTAATGCCATGAATCACTAATCACTGTTTCCTCCAGGTGGACAGCTGGGCCCTTGGGGTGCTGCTGTATACCCTGGTCTATGGAACTATGCCGTTTGATGGAGGAGACCACAAGAACCTCATTCGCCAGATTAGCAACGGCGAGTACAAAGAGCCCACTCAGTCCTCAGGTACTGCTGGAACTTTTGGCTCAGCTTGCATTCCTTTTGGTTTGGGTCATGTTAGGAAACACACCTGATTTCAGTGCGCTGTGTAAAACAATAGCATAAACTGTAATTGGCAAATCTAATTCAGCTGTGCTGCAGATAGAAACCACGAGGACTCTTTTTCTCATAAATTCCAGAAGAATATGAAAGCCTTTAAGATGTTTGTTCATACGCTGTTTGGGGAAGCATGGATCAGAGAGCTCTGGATGTTCACATGTAGTGGATGCAAATTGCATTACACATGATAAACAGTGACGCTTTTATCCAGACAGCATAAAGAAGCACATCTTAGCTGAGCAACAAGACATTATACTTCTTATTCATTTGCTGGTAACATGATTTTTGAATAAACTACAATGGAAACAAAATATAACTTTTTGTGCTAAAAAGAGCAACTTTTTGTGGAAAAAAAATACTCTTGAAAAATACTCAGTGATTCATGTTTTTGGTATAGGTGTAACAGTCTTTGAAATGAAAAAGCAATAGCATATGATTTTAGTATTTGTATGTCAAATAATGTGCAGCGTGAAGCACTCAACAGATCTCTGTTTACTCCCAGATGCCCGTGGACTGATCCGCTGGATGCTGATGGTGAATCCTGAGCGTCGAGCTACAGTGGAGGACATTGCCAATCACTGGTGGGTGAACTGGGGCTGGAAGAACAGCGTGTGTGACTGCGAGACCCAACGCGACCACGGAGGCTCGCCCATGCTGGCCCGTTTCATCGACTGGCAGAACCGCACTGAGCCACGTGGTTCTGGAGCCAAAGCTGCGGCCATGCCCCAGCTGCTGCGCCAGAGGCCCAAGAAGTCCAAGAAGGAGAATGTTGAGGCAGGACAGACGCACAGTGGAGGCGAGGACAAGCCAGGTCTAAAGAGACCCAAAGGCATCCTGAAGACCAGGGTTACTGAAGAGCACCAATCTGTAAGTCCTGAAGAGGTGGAGCTGGGTCAGGTAGCGCTGCCTCAGCAAGCTGAAGGTGGAGAGGAGGCGTCCAGCCCAGACCGAGAGGAAGAGGAGCCGACGCTGGGAGGAGTCTCCCCAGCCAAGATCGTGCCGTCTCTGCCCAAAAAAGGCATCTTGAAGAACAACCAACAACGGGAATCAGGGTACTACTCTTCCCCAGAGCGCAGTGAGTCCTCCGAGCTTTTAGGGGGCGCCAGCATGTCTCTGCTAGCCACCTCCCCACCCAAGAGAGCCATGGGGAGAAAGGGTATCTTGAAGCGAAATGGCAAGTACTCCACCTACAGCGGGCCTCCCTCATCAGCGACGGTGGCCGGAGTCCTCGGTGAGCCTCCTCCATCGACCGACTCTGGTTTGTCCCGCAGTCAGAGTCGTCCCTCCAGCATAGTGGGGGAGGACAGCTCCGTCCTGTCCCTGTCACCCAGCTCCCTCAGCGGGGCCGAGTGGCATCCTTCCACACCCCACCTCCGCCCAAACATCAGGGCTTGTGTCTCGGCTGAAAACCTGCTGCAGCTCGCCAACTTTAAAGGCTTCCAGGCAGCCCCGCCAATCCAGGGACACAAATTCAGCCGCGGCCCCAAAACAAAAGGCTCCCCAGGGGACAATGGCAGCTTCTCCTTGTTGGGGGACCTGGAGGACATGACTCAGGTGTACCAGCAAGCCCTGGACATCAGCAGCAACCTCAACTAATAGATGGGTGGAAGACAGAGAAGAAGAGGGATTTTAACACGAGTGTGTGTTTGTGTGTGCGTATGTGTACAGATGTGTATGCGTGACACTAACGACCAGTGCGTTACTGGGATCGGCCTTTCGTAGCTTGTGGCTTTTTCAAATGGGGTTGAAATCTCGATGGAAAAGATGCGTCGCTACACTCGCACACACGCACTCACACACACGCAGGCACACTTCTCTGGCTAGAAAACATTTAGTTAAGGTTTTCTGTGCAGGAGAGAGACAGAGCTGGCATGAGAGAATGCCACCCAGTCAGCTCTCTTGGCCCGCCCATAGACTTTGCTGTGTTCAACATGTTTACATATTCAGCAAGAAGGCAAGTTAGAATCACAAATGCAGCGATCAGAAACTGGTTGGCTCTGCTTAGACATCACCCATTTCCATGTATGAGTTTACAACAGCACCTTAGAACTCAAAACGGAGCATATGCTTTTGTGATCTTTACTTCCTTTAAAAAAAAAGAAAGAAAGAAATGAAACAAACCAGGGTCTTGTTCCAAAAAAAAAAAAAATAGCATTGCTGATTATTTATTAATATTTTGTAGCTTTAGTTTTAAGTGCAAAACTGGTGGGCGCTGGCTATTACTGGAAGAGTCCAAAGCTCCTTGTCTCCAACTGTGTTTGTGGAACTGACATATATAATTATGTTACTCGGTGACGAGAAACATCTATATACCCCAATATATAACTGTGTCTGTGTATGTACAACACGCAGGCAAGTATACCTTCATAAAAGCATATGTCCTATATATGTTTATGATACTAGGAAATATGTAGGAAGTGCCTTTTTTTGATTCATAATACAAATTATGTATGTCATTTCCTTAATGTGGAGGGAAAAGCCAGGCCAACCTGTCACCAGTTGTGCTTTTTTGTATCATGTTGTTTGTGAATGTAGAGAGACCCAGGGCCTTCATAGCACAGCTGACTAACTACTTACTCCCTCCCCCCCATCAAAGCCCATTCCTTCTACACAGGTGAAATTACACACAGATATACCAGCATCTACAGGCCAAGAAAACAAAAAACCTTCCTCCGTGGTCTTTGTCAGTGTTAAAGTTTGTAGTTTGGTTTGTCGGCAGTTAAGGCCTGGTTGAACATACTTTTGTTGGCAGGACAAGAGGTCTGGAGGGGCTCACCTAGTGGGACATCTAGTGAAGGGAGATAGCACAGACAACATCTCACAGTCCTGGAATGTGTCTGGCTATAGCCCTAGTTCTTTCACATTTTTTGGGCCTACCTGAAAAAAGTAAGAGGTGTTTCTTTCTTTCTTTTATTTATTTATATTTTGGGGGTTTTTTCACTAAAGAAGATTAGGTGCTTTCCATTGCTGGGCTGGTTAATATTTTACCCCAAGCTCTTCAAAGGAGCTAAGTAAGGTGGTTTGTTTTAGCTCGCTGATGACGCAGCAAATTCCTCAGAGGGAGGCAGGAGACGTGCTGGTGCTAGAGATCTGTACTGGCCCCAGCCCGAGTCAGCACAGGTGGGATCTGCGGTCAGTGCTCGGCCCCTCCAGCTGTGTATACTAGTTCATTATGTCAACCAAGCACAATTAGCCAGCTATTGTTTTCATTTGAGCGTGAGAGAGAGGCGGCGCGTAGAGACTTATAGCTAGAGGGAGAAGAAAGGTGTGAGAAAGAGTGATGCATGGAGCAGTGGTGAGATTAGAGCAGTCTTTCCTGTAAAACGCAGAAAAGGTCGAGGTGTTAGAATAGTTTTAGTTTTTGAAGGCTTTGTAATGTAGACTAGTGAAAGTAAAGAAAGTGAATAGAAGGAGCAGAGGAAAAGTTTTTGTTTTATACCAAAGAAGTAATGAAACTGACAATGATTCAGGGGAATGGGTGAGTCAGGGGCTTGTCAGAGTCCTTGCATTTTTCTTAGGAATCTCCCCAACCCCCCCACGGTGTATGAAATCATCCCCACATTGGCTTGACCTGCTTTATTTTTCTTCTGTTATTCCCTAACAGAGATGCTGGAGGCTGTTGATATAGCTTGTCTTGAGGGTCATTGTGTGATCCCAGTCTTCTGTATGGCCTTAGAAATTGTGATACACTTTTCAACAGCAGCAAAAGAAATGTCAAAAATTGGAGAACGATGACTGACATCATCCGATACGTTAAATGATGTGAGTGGAAAAGCATGTCGTGGGGGACCCCAAGGGAAAAAGATCAAGTGTTGAATGTTTTCAGCGGTGGCATGTGCGAAGAAAAGGTCCTGGGTTCTGACTCAAATGAAAGACCCACTGCGTATTATATTGCATTTTATTGCCTTTTGTATTGCATTATATTGTCAACTGGATTTACAGTGAAAAAATTATACTATGTTAGTATTTTGTTTTATTATGCTTCTGTTTTTGATTTTCCAAAATATAAGAAATGTTTTTATTGCTTTATGTTATGGCAGAAAAAAAAATACTTCCTTCCTTGAAGTGTCACAATTTCTCTCCAAAGGAACAAAAAAACAACAAAAAACAAACAAAAACAGCCAAATCTGGTGTGAAATTGGTGAACTCGCACACATTTCCCCCTGTTTTTGGAATACCCACAGGTGAAAGTGTTAGCTGGAAAAAAGAGCAAAAGACTGACATTTTTACTAATAGCTGACTGCAAGAATTTTTTATTTTCACATCTACCAAAGCAGGGGAGGCTAAATATGCTGGAACAACACCAGGAGGAAAAAAAAAAAGGAAATAAATCAATGGAAAGAATCTGATGATAAAACATTAACTCTGCCAAACTGGAAATAACTGGTGCATATCTGTTAGTTAGCAGAAATTCTAATCATAGGAAAACTTGACTGGATATTGTTATGACAAAAATAATAAATTAGTATTTTATGTTATTTAAGCATTATTTTGGTTACAGCTTTTTACTATTGCGGGATATTGCCAAAATTTCTTTTATTGGTTTTATTTGTTTTTAATCTGTGGGTGATCCTGGACTGCCAAGGTATTGTAAGTTGCGTGCCTTTGGTATCTTTCATGATTTTTTTCTTCTTTTTTTAAATTTGATAATGAAAATTATTATCAATGTGGTTTTTTTTATACTTGTATTTATTGATCAAGCCATTTAAAGTTGATGTCAAAGTACTTCATGTTCATGCTTTGACCTGCTTAGGACTTTAGTGTTTTGTGTTCATGACGCACTGCACACAGAAATATTGTTGCTTCTTTAAAATAGAGTTGTGTCATCTCATTGTGAAGGAGGTGGTCAAGTATCTGAGGAGAGACAAATCAATAAAAGTTCCTGAAATCCTGTAGAATGTCTTAATCTGTCAACTCGGGTCAACACGATGCCCCTGTAGTACTGTATCAACTCAAATAAATGGATCTTGAAGGTAATATGTGTTTTGTGTGCTTTTTGCTATGCATAGTCTTTTTATTCTAGAGCTTTGTCAAGTCAAGTGGCTTCAGTCATTTAACATCAAGATTATACAGGATTCATGCAAGGAGAACCTTAAATACATCTAGGTATAGAAAAGATGGCTTTGCATTTAAAGTTAAACAGTAATCTATATAGTCGCCATCTATAGAGTTCCAAAAGCTCCCTTTAACACATGAATGTCTTCAAATATACCTTTTTTTGGCAAATTATTTCTGGTTTATCCAGTGGTTGAACTGGATATCCAGAGTCTTTTTTTTTCTTTCAGTAGGACTCACATTAAACTAGTGAGATGGCCTCATTTCTGTTTCCTTATTAAGAATGTGTGACCCAAAAACTTTCACCAGTGGATTTAAGATGTCAGCGGCGGTGTCCTGTTTTCATCATTAGCTTCAAGTTAATCAGTCTGAATTTGTGGGGTCAAATCATTGGGGTCAGAATGGCTAAAGTATACTTTTTTTTGGACACATTTTGAAAGTTTTTGCCAAAGCTTCGAGAGCTTTTCAGAGTAGGTCGCCAGCCTGTCAAAAGTCGAGCTACCGATGAAAATGGGCCATTCAGGGCACTGAATTCAGCCAGTGTTTCCACACAGCCTTGGCTGCTGTAGTGAAATTAACTTGATGGTTGTTAAAGTGATACCCCACCCAAAATCTGTTTTTCAGGCATTTAAAAGACACTCCCAGTGGGCTTCAGCTGTGGTTGTAAAATAGAACTGTGGTTCTAGTCAGCCTGAATTTACAATGAATTCCAATACTAACCTTTTTTTTTTCTTCTTTTTTTTTTTACAGTGGAAACGGAAATCACATGACCAATAGGAAGATCACACACTAAATAAGGCTGTCTGGCCCATTAGTGGTTGTAGACATTGATTTATCCGCAGTACAGCACCACATCCTGCTTTTACATTGTTCAGAAGAGCTCACTGTCTAGATGCTGTTTAGTTTCTCAAGAAATCAAGTTCTACAGCATCTCTAAAATGAGACAGATTCCAGTACTGGGATGCTGTTTTACTTTCTAGTCAGTACTGGTGAAGTAATCTTGAAGTAACTATTAAGTATTCTGCTTCAGTGAACAGTGTTTACTGTTTTGTGCTGCAGACTGAGTAGTGAAGAGTTAATTAGACTGACAGTTATAAACCAATTCATTACATATTTGTTCACTAATATAGGATCTCCTAGTTGGTCCTGTAGCAAATATTCTTTATCTACCATCCATACCACCTGGATCAGAAATTATTGGTTAGATACTGATGATCGTCTCATAACTAATAAGTGATCCCTGATATATTTCTCACTTGTACTATCTTTCTTCTTTAACCAAGGCACTTTTTTGTGTCTTTCACTCTATTAGAGGTAGTTCTCCTTTATTGTCATCAAGTCTCTCAGGTCTCTGGTTTCCATTATGATTTCCTATTGTAAAAGAGATAATACATCTAGTCTTGTATGACTGATTGATTTATGAAAGAACAAGGCAAGTGATAACTGTGGAAACGCAAGTGTGAGCTCAAGCTATGCGGCCTCTTGTTTTGCCAACTAGACACTGATAGCTTTTGTTTCCAGCTGATTTGGGTTGACGCACAGACAGAAACAGACATACTTGTGGTATGAAGGTTATCATTCGCTGTCCATCATGGTCACAACCAAAATGAGTTTCTTGCATGCCTTTTTTTCTTGACTTTCTCTGCTCTTTTGTCTCTTTATGCCACAAAAACCCGTATTAGATGAGACCATCTGCTTCACCTTTGACAAGCAAGCAGTAGAACAAATATAAAACCATGACAGTAAAATCTGTCACCTGATGTCCCAGATCTGTGAATCTTTAACAGTGAACGAGGACTCGCCACATGTTGACGATCTTTGTACACCAATAAGGCAAATCATGCCAAATGCAGGGCTGGCTTACCTGAAAATGTGGAGGAAATGCATATAAAACAAATCCTCTGGGTAACTGTGTGACAAAAGTGTTGACATTACATGCTTAGCGAATAGTATTGTCTTTTTTTAATCCAGCAGACTTGGAAAAAAAATCCAAAAAGTCTGTATATATATATATAAAGATACAAGACACAGACATACTTGTCATAACTATAATACATACATCAAAGGACTTGAGAAA